ATTTCTCCCTGGGCATCTTCATCCTTTTAGTCCAATGTCTGTTATTCCCTTGTAATCATTACTCAATATTATCTATCCCCTTTTTTCTTACTTGCTTTAAACAGGGCATGAGAGTCATTTTCTATACTCAAAATTACCTTTTCATTCACTTTCTATTTTTTGTACCTACATGACTCCTTACTTTTCCATTTGACCTTCCAATGTTGACATCTTCCTATGGTTTTTCTTCTCTTCTGTTTTCCTCCCTAAGCAAAACCTTTCATTATTTCTTAGGTTGTTGTTACCATTCTGACCATCATTCCAGGTCTTCTACATTCATAGGACTGAATGCATATAAAAAGAGATAAAGAGATGGATAATGGATGTAAGGATACAAGTTGGATCCTCTATATTTATGAATTTCACTTTTTTTTGGGGGGGGGGGGGGGGGAGAGGACCACTAAGAATGTTACTATGTTCAGGTGCACCTCCCTTCTTTACACCATGATCACTTTTCGTTCTATCTCGACCAAAAGCATTATATGTATCTATTTTTGTGAATGTAGAGGACCAGGATAGTAAACAAACATAAAAAGACAGCTTGTTTCGATGGTTTCACTGCTCCCTTTCTCCCTAAAGTCTGCTCGTTGGGCTTTGTGTCTTTGACCTTTGGCAAGATGGCATCTTTACTTCTCAAAAGTTGGTCTGGATAAGCATAAATATGGCACTTGATGCTTGTGTTCCTGCCTCTTTGTTATTTGAATTTTATAATGTTTTGTTTATTAATATTTATTATTGCAATGATGGCGATGTTGGTGAGTTGTTTTTTGTTTTCTTGATTATCATTATATTTAGTTTATTCTAAAAATAAAGTCTTGTAAGTTGGAACTAAAAAATTAATATGTTGACTTATATTCTTTTGAAATAAGTAAACATTAAAATTGTTTTAGTGAGTTTCACTTATTATATGGGTTGGTAATGTATTATAAAATATTAATTTTTATTAATTATAAAAATATTATACTCTATATATTTATTGCTTCATATAAATATTTTGTGGTTCCCACGCCTTATATTTTTAAAGATTGGTGTTTCCTGTACCCGTATTAATTTTTATACCTTCAACGTAGAAGCTGGATAATTCGCCAAGAAATTTATCAAGGTTGTTTTTCTATTTTTGGTTCTGTATCTCACAATATAAGCAGCTGTTCCCTCATAGTTCCTTTTGACCCATTAATAAGCGTTATCTGTGCACTTGATTGTCATTTTAGCGGGTAGAAACCATAACTTATGTAGCTGATTGGCTTTAGATTTAGATCATAATTTCCTCTTAACTTGTAAAGCTTTTCAAACAACAGGCAATGATTGATTTTCTTACTATGATAAAAGAAAATAAACAGGCCACATGCAGAATTCTCCTATCTTGTTACTCTTATTTATCTTAATTTTCTTGAAATTAGTACTGTTAGAATTTGTGCTGTGGAAAGCTGTACAAGATCTTATATTCCTTTTATTATTGTTGTTGTTGGCGTCGTCATCATTGTTGGTTTTTCTCTATAAGTGGAGCTTGCTTGATCCAGTTATTTTTCCTAATCCAGGAATTGTGTGATGAAATGGGTCCAATTGTCTCATTCAACTTGAAGAGACCTGATGGTTCTTGGTATGGATACCGAGAAGTGGAAAAGCTGGCATCTCTATCAGGAATTCAGCTACGGGTACAACTGAGGATTTTCTTCATGTTGTTAACCTGTCTTTTTGAAAGATCATCTTTTCCATCTATCATGATAAGACTTAACTTTTTCTATTCGCTTGTCCTGATCTAGCATCTTGCTACAATGCTGATTGTATATCTGTATCTGCTATCTGTTTAGACAGGATGCTTCTGCAATCCAGGTGCCTGTGCAAAATACCTTGGGTTGTCTCACGTGGATCTGCTTTCTAATACTGAGGTTGCTGCTTGTTAATGTTATTTTCCAGCTATTGACATCATTGGTTTGTCTAAGTTTCATTTGCTTATATCCTTGGAATGATAGTTAGATTTACAAATACAGGCAGGCCATGTTTGCTGGGACAATCATGATATAATTAATGGAAAGCCTACTGGAGCTGTAAGAGTATCCTTTGGTTACATGTCAACATATGAAGATGCCAAGGTTTGAACTCTTCTTGTCATCTTATCTTTTATTCAACATACGAAGAGGATCCTTTGATTCAGGATTCTGAGTTAATCGAGTCTTGTTGGGTTAGCTAACATTTAATAACTATGTCATGCTCATAACAAAGTTAAAATGAAGTGAGAGAAATCTCATTTTCATGAACTTGTAGCTTGGCTTGGGTTCTTGGTTCATGTGTCAATATTTGATGATTCTTGAATGCATTTCCAACAATTTTAGGTCACCATTCTTTGTAATCTAATTCTTGTGTTCCTTTTTTGTCAGAAATTTATTGATTTTGTAGCAGGTTCCTTTATTTCACCTGAAAGTCACTTTGGCCACACAAAACAATTGAAAGGTCTGTGCTCTTTAATCAGTAAATTTTAAGTTAAATCATAGACATCCTTCCATCTAGAGGGCTTAGTGTTTTAAATTTTTTATTTCTCTCGTATTGCTGCTCATATCCTTTGGCCCTAAAAGACAGGAATAAACTTGCATTAGATGCAAAATAAAAGTGCACATATATATGAAGCTAATTTGTAGGCTTGCATATGCCAACCAAGATAGATTTTTCAGCCAGTGATTTGAACTTATGCACAAACGTTTACTTCATGCAGGCTTTGACCATTGTTCCTTGTCTTCTGGTTTTTCTCTTCAATCTATTACTATATATCCAATAAAATCCTGTGGTGGTTTCAGCTCGGGAAGTTGGCCTCTTAGCAACAATGGTAATCATTTACTTTTCAAATGTTATCGTCTTATTAGTTTGAGTCATATCTAGTTATTGTCAACTTTTATAATAAGGTTTAAGAACAAAGAATACAGTAGGTTGCAATTGCTGCTTTTAGCTCAACCAGAAACACGAGTGGTAAACTTATCTCTCATTGGGAAAGTTCACTTTATTGTACCAAACTTTCTTCTGATCTTTTCCCTACCATGTGGTCAATTCATCGTTATGGATTTGAAGCCCATTTATATAACTGGTCCTTTGGGAAGGATTTGTTCTTTTTTATCATATCATTGGTCACAACTCTGTTTCTGTTTAGATGGGAATTTTCTCATATTTCCCCCTTCTCCATTTCTGTGGTCTTCTTTATTCTATAAAATTTCTCACCTTCTACTTCGAATATTCTAATTTATTACAAATAATCAATCAAGATTTCTCCTTTAAAATAAAAAATGTCATTAATGTACATTCTCACCTGCAATTATTATAATTACAGATATGTATTACCTGGTCTGAAGAAAGTTAGATACTCATTTCTGAAAATTTTGAGCAGGCCTGAAATATGATCGGGAGTGGATTCTTAAAAGCCTTAGTGGTGAAATTCTTACACAGAAGAAGGTAAAACTATTATTTGATTCTTGAATCCTTCAGTGTGTGTAATTTAATGTATGGATGCACATTTCAGAGATTGGACTTGGTTTTGTCGTTGCTTATGGTGGTGGATGTTGATTAATTATTTTTTCCTAGTAAAACAATTATCATTTTCTTCTTTCTCATTTCAACGTAATGAAATGAATTCTCATTGGTGAACTCTCTTCTGCATCCTTTTCAGTTTTTATCTTGTGATGTTGATTGTATTGTTTACGTGACAAGCCCACAATATGATCATTTTAATTTCTGATAAGTTTGCAATTTAATTTCTGATCCACTGAACCATGTTTCACCTACCTATTAAAAGGGAATGACAACAAAACTGAAAGCAGTGAATTTTTCTGGGACCAAATGTAACTGTTGTCCTTTAAAAAAAAAAAAAAACCAGGGCAATGGTGATTGATGAGGCTTGATACCCTGCCAAGAAAATAGATGGATTGGAAAAAAGCTAGAGAGAATCTAATAGACCTACGATGCTTCACATTAAATGCTCTTGTCTCTATTTATATGTGTCTAGTTTGGCTGGTCTTGTCTTTTCACTCTTGTAATAAACAGTGTTCTAAGAAGATCCGATGTTTCCTGGCAGAATCGTTCCAGGCAATGCTATAATGCCTCTTACGAATGTTTTTTTTCCCAAGTTCTAGCCTGCCTCTAAATGCTTCAGAAGAGAAAAATTAAAATGCATAAAAAGTGTGAAGAAATATTCTTGAAATGCATTGAAATGCATTAAACACAATAAGAAATCTCTGAAACTTGTCAAAATATTTTAGAATTGTCAAGGGTAAGTATATATTATGATACATTTTAATGCCCGATATTTGTCAGTAATTCTGGTATATTTAAAATGTAAATTGAATAATCTGTTTACAATATTTTGCACTATCCTTGTCCTGTTTTTTATAGAAAGTTGTATTCCTTGTTGTATTGTAAATATCTCCTATTGATTAGATTCGGGTTTTAAGGCAAGATTGAATATTGTTTTTTGCGCAAGTCATACGTTGTCACAGGTGCTAGCCAATTCTAGCTATCTGTCTATCTTATTAGTGGTACTTTATAGTGAGATTTTGATTTGTTATGTGTTGATTTTGTAGGTTCCTCAAATGTGCTTTATAAGCACCTATGTTGACCTCAGTCGAGGAATCTTGTTTGTGGAGTCCCCACACTGCAAAGAAAGACTACAGATCAAGCTTGATTCTGATGTGGACATCGGTGGCAGAGAAGATGTTGGTTTGTATGGTCAGAGGTATACGGTTGCATATTTGTGTCCACTATAATTTTATCTTTATATTTCCTTGATATACACCAAGTTCTTGTGGATAGTATTGGGTGATTTTAGTTGGTAATTATACGGGGAAAACCTGAAAATTGTAGACTAACTTTCATTTAAGGATGGAGGCGGTGGATGGTTGAAACAAAGGGCATTGTGAAATGAATCCTATTTTGTTGCTCTGTTGTGCTTGTCAAGAGGCATCCACAGGAATCCCTTCTTCTTTTCTGTTTTTCGCCCTTTTTTGTTTTCTGGGGATCTTTGTTAGCAGCATGAGCTTTGGGGTATTCTTGTTATGTGTAAGGGTGTTTTTATCAGCAGATATATGTATTTCTATTCCTATCTCTTGCAAAATGTGATTATGAGATTACAATACGCCTTCCTAGTATTTTGATGTGGTCTCCTCTACATTGTAATATAAAAAGAAAATGATCTGATAGTTTTACTTTTTGAGCAAGTATAGCGGAATTCTACTTCGGTTGGCCAACTAAATCCTTTATAAATATTGGAGCACCATGGAATCATGTAAGCTAGTCACATTACTTTAGTGATAATTGATCAGAGCCCCCCCCCCCCCCCAAAAAAAAAACCGGGGGAAAAAAAACTCCTTTTATGAATAACTTTTCTGTTGGTAGAACCAACAATTCCTCTTGCGATGCATAGAGTTTAATTGAATCTCTCAGTCTGTCCCTAACACATGGAATTATCTTACATGTGAAATTGACCTTTCTCCTTAATTCGTTATTCTTTTTAATGATTATGGTTCAGTTATCATTGTTTCTTCTGAATTAAATTTTTTTCCCCTTCTGGCTTGTTACTATATGAGATTTTACGTTTGTGTAAACGAATCTTTCAAAATTAAATCGCAAATGCCCTGATTAGTAAGCAGTAGACATGCCCTTTTATTTTTTTACCTCACGCTTGGAATAATTGTTGTGTCCTTCAGGTACATAGTCCATAGTTACGATGAAGACGTCAATGCTTGGTTTAGCAAAGCCATTGGTAAACCATGTGCTCTGTTACGCAATTCTAGTTCTGACCATGATCTAATATTGAACGAGTCCAAAGACGCAGTTACATGTAGAGATGCAAAGAGCAAGCTCAACTTCGCCAATGAAGCACAGTTCTTGCTTGTGTCAGAGGAAAGTGTACTTGACCTCAACAACAGATTAAGTCCCTGTATGCCCTTGTATTCATTTTCTCATGATATGCAATTCCTTCCACGGGAATAGTCAATTTCTTCTAAATATGCAATAGTTACTTTTACTCTTTCTAGGGAACCTTAAATATTCTGTCCATTATATCAAGGAAGATCATAAACTAGTTCATGACAAGTAATGGCTTATTTGATCGTTGATTAAGCTATTTATTGGGTTGCAAAGGGGATTTCATGTATTAAACAAGGGCTTGATTAATTGTGATGAAATTCCTTTTGGATACAACAACTTTCCATTTCAAAATTTCCACTATTTTTCAATATAGAATCTGGACCAATTATAATTGATGTCACTAGATGTACAGAAGAGCCCATGCGGAGAAGACATGCAAGTCACTCCAAGCAGATTTCGACCAAACCTGGTGGTATCTGGAGGCAGGCCATATGATGAAGATGGATGGAGAAGCCTTAGAATTGGGAACCATTATTTCAGAGTAAGTTCTCTAACCTTGAATTCCTTTAAGACTTGTTTGCGGTGCCATTTGAAACTCTTGGTGCACATTGGAAAAACTTCCGTATGAATTATTTCCAATGATATGATGAACTTAAAATGATAGTAGGGTTTTACATTATCATTGAGTTGATTTCTGAGCTATTTTTGTGTGCCCTGGTTCCATTCCGTTCCAAATTTATTTTAATTTTCTCTTTTGCAGAAGATTATCAGTCATCATAATATTCTATGAAAACTGTCCTAACTACAGAATATAAAGAATGATAACTGTTAGGATTTAAATACAACTTAACATCTTTGGCATGACGTACTGTAATTAAATATAACAAAGATCTTACGCAACCGGTTCGTGAAGAATCAAAATGATTACAAGATAACCCTTGTTGGGTCATGTTATGATTGGAGAATCTGATAATATTGCTAGAAAAAAAACTACATATACATTTTTGTATGGACTTTTTTTTTTTTTTTTTTGGGTACAAAGCATTTTACTTGGCCTCTTGGGATCCATCATATGTTAAGCTGTATATTGTTTGGTGGCTCAGAGATTCTCTATCCTTTATAAAGGAGACGAGATATGTAATCCTTACTGTATTCTGCATATCATCACTTTACATTTGCCTTTTTATTATTATTATTATTCTATTCACAGACGCGAAGAATATTTCCCTCCTTAAAATCACTTTTTCCATTTTATTTTCTTTGGTATTCTTTTGGATTGGCTTGCATTGTGATGCTTAATAAGGACGTAACTGTTTTCTCTGATTCTGATATTTTCTTCCTCTGCTCTCCAGTCATTAGGGGGATGCAACCGTTGCCAGATGATCAATTTTTCACAGAAAGATGGACAAGTTCATAAGTCAAACGAACCCTTAGCAACCTTAGCATCATACAGGAGGGCAAAGGTTAGCCAATGATATCATAACATATTGATTACTATCTTGCATCTTTATTTCAATTCTATACTTAATGGTTAAACATGTTTGGTTTCCCATTGGAAACTATAGGAACTATTGTTTTGATAGAAGCAGGTAACTACTTGCTTTCACCAAAATTATGTTTTTGTTGGGCTTTAACGTGAAATTAAACACGCTAGAGTAGGAATGCTCAAACCTCTGATGTGCAATTTTTGTTTTTACTGAACCTTCTTTACATTGTAATGAGCCTATTAACTTGGACAAACGGAGCATTGGGTCTGCTCTGTTTGTTCCCCTTCCCTTATATGGCTTCGTTCTAGTTCTGATTTTACACAATGAAACAGGGGAAGATCTTGTTTGGAATTTTGCTTAGATATGAACCTAGTGATGAAGGGGAACAACAATGTGATTCACGGCTTCATGTGGGACAGCATGTTCATCCAGATCCTGTTTAGTTGGTCGGCGGTTTTGATCAAAAGAAGGAAATATTTGAGTATGAAGCCTATACACACAATAATCCAATAACAACACCATGAGAGAAAAGTGACTGGAAGATCCCAGTGGCTGGGGTATTTTGTGTTGTATATCATTGACAACAAGGATATGAGTATATAAACACGGATCCTTTCCAATGTAGGAGAATATTTCAATTATTACTATATATAGAAATCAGAAGAAGCTGTTCATGATGTCGGTTTGGCTTCAAATAATACTTGTAATTTTCATTTTAAAAATATTTTTTGTTTACGTGTTTTAAATTTACTCAGTATTTATACTTGTGCGACAAATAAATTATTCATAATTGTAAGTCCTACGGTGTCCCCCCCCCCCCAATCCACCAACCATGATGCCTTATTTATCACAATTAAGTTAAATTATATCATTACAAATCATTGTGAAAAGGAGATGGGAAGAGTTGATGCATCAAGCCGGAGGATATTCATAACTTTGCTAATTTTGTCCTTTGGTAAAAAGAAAAAAAGACACCTAACACTATTGACGGAAGGATTTGCCAGCAATAGTTTGATGAAAGGATTTGTCAGCAGTGTAGATGGAACCATATCTGCAACTCCTTCTATCCTGCAAATCTCAAACTAAATCATATCAGTTCAAATGCAGAATATGAATTAAAAATTTAACGACATCAGAATTTGAATATGAACTAAAATTATCCTTCTGATAACAACTCTATACGGAGACCGATCTTGGTGATGGGATTTATTTAATTATAGAATAGACAAGATACATTCATCTCATTTTCCACAACAGAATTTTACAGTAAAAAAAACAATAGGAGACTGTCCATCACCTATAAGTTAAGAGGCAAGCATATAAAATGATATAGAAAGACACATATCATCGTTATCACTTCTTCAATGAAAAGAAAGACGGCCCGTGAAAGCAACCAGCACATAGGTTAAAACAAGGCACTGATGAAGGACGAAATTATAAAGCTCCACCAAAACGCGATTAACCTACAAAGCTTATCCCGAATAGCCCCCAAAATCCAATTCTAAGTGAGTGCTTACCAATGCTTTTGTGCAATGAATTCCCCCTGCAGATGATTCTATGGAAAAGTGCCGCAAAGAATATGATGTTGGATTTTCCGACTAACAGTATTTTGTATGGGACTAGAAGGAAAATATTCATATTTGCCGAGTTGTCCGTTTAAGCCTGATATTATAGCCCATGTAGCTTTTTCCCATCGTCTTCCTGCTCGCCATGTTGTGACTGTCGTTCCGTTTTCTCACCCACCTTGTTGACAGGTGGAAAAAAAAAAAAAAGATTTCAAGTAAATACTGTTGGAATATTTTTAAAATGAAGAAATTTGTTTTTTTGAAAAGTCATGTCCTTATGTAAATTTATTCAATTAATAAATTTATATGAGAGGTTATGTCTTCATATAAATTAATAAATTTATTTGAAGGGTCGTGATCTCATATAAATTAATATATTTATATGAGGGGTTGTGTTTTCATATAAATTACTCTCTCCGGTTCTAAATATAAGACCTATTTTGTAGTGTAAATTACACTACAAATGAGTATTATATTTAGAACTAGATGGAGTAATATATTTATATGAAGGGTTATGTAGGAAATTAAAACACTAAATGACCTTAAATATTAAATACATTGTATTTAGGGGAAATTGTAAAAAAAGACCTTGGAATTGGCAAAACGCAGATAGAGACCCTTGACAACTTTACTTTGGGTTTTGACAACTTCATGATATATTATTATTGTCAAAACCAAAGTGAAGTTGTCAAGGGTCCTTATCTGCGTTTTGCCAATTCCAAGGTCTTTTTTGCAATTTTCCCTTGTATTTATTTAAATTATGTTGGTTCATGAATCAACATATGGTTGTGACTTTTCATTTAATAAAGTATTATTTCAAAATGTATCTCTTCAAGGCATCATTCAATGGTCTATATAAATCCCTTACCATCACTTCATTTGGGACAACACAACACAAACACAAAGGTCAAACTTATTGTTTTTTTTTTTTTAGTGCACATAGAGATAGAGTCAAATTATCACTTCGTAAAAGCTATTGTTGTCTTTGCTTGAATCTTGGAAGTACAATCCATATTCAAAGGTCTTTGTTGTATCCTGAAGGAAATTAGCTAGACATCCCAACTTGCACCCTATAAGATAGCTTTAGGCAGGGGGCAAATTAAATTTAAAGGAAAGTACTGCCCATACTTTGAAGATATCGTGCACCACTTCCTTCTTCATTTCTTCTTCTTGTAGTCTTCAAAAAACCATTCCCTCCCAACAAATACAAGATCCTGAAATTAGAAATGGAAAAATTGGTAGAATACCATTACCAGGATTTAAGCAAGAAAATTTTTTTGAATGAAGATCATGGTTAGAAGATGAAGCAAGTATTAATGACAAAGTGGATAGGGTATAGAGGACTCAGGAGCTGCGTCTTGCGAGCGACTACCTGGAGCAAGGCAACCGAGGGAGCAAGACCATTACGCAAATTAAATTAGGGAAAACCATATTGAAGGTACCTATACTTTCTCTCAATTTTTAATTTGGTACCTATATGTTTTTTTCCCTTTAATTAAACATTTAATTTTATCTTTTTAGCAACATTAGCTCTTATAACTTTGTTCTATTGATGTTTTTAGTCTCTACATAAGGATTAATGATGTTAATAGAGGAAAAATAAAGATTTAGTTAAGAACAAAAAACACATAGGTACCAAATTGAAAATTGAAAAAAAGTATAGGTACCTCCAATATGGTTTTCCCATTAAATTATTACAAGTTGAATCACCAAAATAGCCTTTAGAGTAATTATGAAAATTAAACCAGAATAAATAAATAAAATGATAAAAATTACATATCATCTGCCAAATAATTTAAGCAATTTGATGTGGCATGTATTCGGTCATATTTAACGGTCATGTTATGGTAGAGCGTTAAATGTCAAAATATGATAGTTAAAGATATGATTTTTAAATTTTTAAAGATGTAAGGATTATGTGTAGGGGAGTAAAAATTGAGAGGGTTGTGAATATTTTGGCCATAAAATTATAAAAAGTTAAGATGCATCTAACATCTCGAAATAGGGTTGTTTATAGGACGGGACAAGATCGGGATCGGAACAGGCCTGTCCCGAAGAACAAGGTGAGACAAGAAATCTGTCCTGTATCCCGTCCTGTCCCAGAACATTCCTTTTTTCTTTAAAAAAATATTTTTGTTTTGTGGTTGGACCTATTATAATGGATTTTGGTTGTTTTTCTCATTCTATTTTTAGTTCTTTGAGCTTAGCCCTTTTGAAAGCCTTTTTTTTTTAGGCTTATTCTCTTAAAGAAAAGTTCAAATAAATAATAATCATTAAGATAATAGCTTTAAAATTTATTTTCACAATTCCAAAAATCATAGGCAACCATAAAAACTCTAAATAAATAATAACCATTCAAGTACATATATTTTGAAAGCTATAAATATAAACATTTTGTATTACACATGCCTTAAATATTTTATATTTTTAACATTTAGTAATTATAATATAATAAAAAATAAAAAATATTACTTTCGGGATAGGACTGGGACGGGATCCCGTCTTGTGTCCTATCCTATCCCAGTCCTATTTTTTGTCTCTTCCCGAAAATACTTTGGGACGGGTCCATTTAGTCCCAATATGGTTGGGACTGGGACGGACTTATTTGACTACCCCTACCCTGAAATATTTTTTGATGCATCCAGTAGTCCGAAATATTTTTTATTTGCATCCAATGCCTTAAAATATTTTTTTTATCTTGTTGGATACACAAAAAAATATTTTTTGATACTAGACACACCTCAAAAAACGATTTTGAAGTGTTGGATGTACAAAAAAAAATTCACAATACTGAACGGTACTTAAAAAATATTACAAAATGTTAGATATATCATAGAATATTTCGGGGTGGTGTCAGTTGCCTTAATCAAATCATATAAACCACACAGTCAATAAATAAAGAGACAATTATAATGAGGTTGGCCGAAAAGGAAATTTAGAGAGAATTTTGAATAGTTTTTACTTTTCCCGTCGTCCCTCGTTCTACCTTCCATCGCTCTCTTTCGTTCTTTAGTCTGTCGCTGGTGCGCCAGTACTAGTGCGCCGTCCTCTTCGGGGAAGCTAGGTGAGAGATGTCTAGAGGTTGAGCAGGAAGATTCTGGTACTGGGTAAGATTAGCATTAGCATGCTCTTAGCCTGGCTTCGATCAAGACCCAGCAAGCTACAAGATTTTCACAAAGCCCGACATCTCTTATTCTCTTCTGCTACAGCTACTACAACATCCTCGCTTCCACCTCCCATAACAGTTGATATTTTGAAAGAATGCAAGACCTTGATCCAAGCCAAGCTCTTGCATCAACAAGTCTTAGTTCAGGGTCTCCTCCACTTTCTCAGCAACCTTATTGGCACCTACATAGCTTGCAATTCCACTTTCCATGCTGTTTTGCTTCTCGAGCGGCTCGAACCCTGCTCATTCCATGTTTTCTGGTGGAATCAATTGATAAGGGCTGCAATTCATTGTGGATTTCCTGATCATGTTTTGGGAATTTACCGTCGGATGAGGAGACTGGGTTGGATGCCTGACCATTATACCTATCCATTTGTTTTCAAAGCTTGTGGTGAGCTCATGTCATTCCATCGTGGTGCTTCGCTTCATGCCAGCGTGTATCGAGCAGGGTTCGAGTCGAATGTTTTTGTTTGTAATGCAGTGGTTGCAATGTATGGGCGTTGTGGTGAGCAACATCATGCACGTAAGATGTTCGATGAATTGTGTTACAGAGGTATTCAGGACTTGGTTTCTTGGAATTCTATTGTTTCTGCTTACGCCCAGGGTCAAGATTTCAATAATGCACTTAAATTGTTTGACAAAATGTCTAATGATCATTGGATATTCCCCGATGCTGTGAGCCTCGTTAATATACTTCCTGCATGTGCTTCAATGGGTGCATCATCGGAAGGTAAACAAATTCACGGGTTTGCTATTAGAAGTGGATTGGTTGATGATGTCTTTGTGGGTAATGCTATGGTTGACATGTATGCCAAGTGTGGTAAGATGGACGAAGCAAGCAAGGTTTTTGAGAGGATGAAGGCCAAGGATGTCGTTTCTTGGAATGCCATGGTTACAGGGTATTCTCAGATTGGTAAATTTGAAGATGCTCTATCTTTGTTTGAGAGGATGCGAGCAGAAAATATTAATTTAGATGTTGTGACTTGGACTGCTGTTATAGCAGGATATGCTCAAA